AGGAAAAATATGTAGAGAATAAGGATTGAAGATGGAGAAAAATCAAAATTGAATTGGTTTAAAAACCTGTGGGCCAAGGAAAAATTTGAAACACAGCCTACAAATGTAGGCAACTGTATTTTCTCTGGAAGTAATGGCTAACAATCCAAAGAGACTCTTATCAGACAAGTGTTTTGAGGATAAACCAATATTATAATTGCTTGTGTCTAATGATTTAGATCTAACTAAAGAGCCCATAATGTTTAAAAAATATATATAATTTTGCATTTGTATGCAAATACTTATTCTCTGCAATAGCGTGTCAACAGTTTTTGTTTTCTCTTAGTCTGAATTTTTTTTTTGTTTAGTAAATTAACCATTACACACAAAATTGTTCCAATCTTTTCTCTTGCTAATCTTTGGATACTGAAGAAAATGTCTGCAGGTAACACATACACTATTAAAAAATGTGTACAGTCAACACACACAAAATAATTTTCTCAAACAAACATTTGTCATTTCTGTTTCCTGAACAATTTGCTTAAAATACCTTTTATTTTGGTACAGTGGAAAGCTGTATCTATTTTTTAAATTCAGTACAGTTATGCTACTTTTAATCCCCTGCTCTTGTTGACAGAAGCATCTCTAAGGTTGCCATAGTTCAGGAAAAAGTGAGGAAAAAAATTAAATTATCAAGGTCAGGCAAAAGTCTGAGAATTCCACTTTGATGATATACATTCGAGAAAGAAGTCAGGGAAAGTGGAATTTCAAGTAAATATGAAATCATTCATCTTGTCTTGGTCCTCTTCATAATGAGAGATGTGACACTTATATTCATGTTTTTTCCTCTATTAATCATTTTTTTCTAACATTTTAAATACTCTTCCACAGTAGATTTCACAGACATGTAAAAAGGTGTTGAATTGGTAGAATTTAGTGTAACCAAATTGAACAAAATTATGTTGTTGGGTTCCCAAGAAAATGTCATCTAATTCATGTACACTCTTTACAATGTATGTGACTTGCCAAAAGCATAAAGTTATGGGTGAAGAGGATGGCTTTGAGGGGAGATTGCAGGCCTTTATCAGGATTCATTTGTAAAATTGTCAATTCAGGTGGTCAGGAAAATCTATATATGTTAGGGAAAAGTCAGAGAATTTCAAAAAGGTAGGACTGTGGCAACCACGATCTCACCAATGACTTTAGACCCATACAGATCTTGTGCATTTTATGGACATCAATGGCAGTCAGCTAATATATTTTGCAAAGAAAGTATCAGATAAATTTGTATTAGTGGTGGAAGAAATTAAGAGTCACGAGAGGCCATATGTTACTACAGTATTAGCCAATGCCTGTCATATTTAACTACATTTCTTGAAAAACAAGCTTTTTACATACCAAATACAGGTAGGCAGCTGGGATACCCTTTTAGATATAGTAACTGCTGTAAGGGATGATTCCTGCATGCACTCAGCCAACCAAGTTTTTCAGGTTTTTTGGCCTAAGGGAACTGTAAATGAGTTCTTGTTCAGTGGTTGTTATTTTTCTTACCTTTTTAGGGTTTGGAGATCCCCATGTGAGGTTGTACCCAAAGATTTCCTGCAGGGCTTTTTCAGAAAATCTTACTGATAAAGATAACTTTTCAAAGGTACTAACAAAACAAAATTATATATGGTTTAACATTTTCCATGGTATTATATAATACTATTATTTATTTACATTATAAGGTTTTGAATTATGATTTATGAATTGAATTACAAAATTAGTGTTATTGACAAAATTGTAATTTCTTTAAATCTAAGGAAGAGGATTTTGAAGCAGGTGATACTGTGCATATTATAAGGGAAAGCGAAAGAGTTATTGGTAAGTTGAAACTATGTCATTGATAAGAATGTAGGATTTATGATTAATTCACAGAGATAACAGAGTTTTTTGGTAAACTCTTTGTAGAACAAGGTGTATTACTTACACTACTTGTAGTTTCGTAGACTATGTAGCCTTCAAGTTTTGTTGTTAGCTCTCTGCATGTGGAAAAGTAACAAGCTTGGAGAAATTTTTGGGTGCTTCTATATGAAAAGACATACCATAAGCAGGAACTTTTTCTATGGTTCTTATTAGACCAAATAAAACTGTACGCGTGCATGTTACATTTCAGTGGTCCTTGTTAATATATTTGGTGTTTCTAGATCCTTGCTAAGTAAACTAGGTTCAGATCTTTAAAACTATCAATTTTCTTTAGGAAAAAAATGCAGGCTCTAACTTTTATTTTGAGTTTGCCACAAGAGCCAGTAAGGTGATCTGGATCCCAACCTATAACTTACATTTTTAGGATATAGAACTACCTGTTTAATGATTAACAAATTGTTTGTTTTCACATCTTAGGTGAAACCCAAAGGCATGAATTTCAAGCAGAAACCAGACAATTATTGGACATTGTAGCCAAAACACTTTATTCTGAGAAAGAGGTACAGTTGTGTGTGTATGTGAAGAGAAACAGTACCTGTTTCAATAATATAACCAACTTTTTACAGAGTTATTTTTCACAACTTTGACACATACCGGTAATGCATGTTACATGTATGGTAAAAATTATGGCAATAGATAATTATACCAAGATAATTATAGATAATTATGGCAATAGATAATTATACCAAGATAATTATACTGAACTAATGCAGTAAAACCTTCATGTCACAAGATTTACATAACATACAAAATAATACATATTTTTTCTCACTTTGTGCGATTTGATAACCTTAATAAAGGAAAATGATAAATTTAATGTAGGGACAATGGATGCTTGTTCAAACAGAGCACCAAAAGGTAAACTGCTCCAGCTATAAAACTATACAAAGACTATTAATTGGGAACATGATCATTGACAAAGAGTGACAGCAGGTTACATTCTTATGTTGTAGCCATGATGATGAATTACAAGTAACTTGTTTTCTTAACCTGGTGCAGAGCTTTCACTTCTTGTTGTACCTTCCAGGAAAGTACCTTGTTGTACCTTCTAGGAAAGTAGACAGAAGAGTGACCCATCATAGAAATGCCTTCCCCCTCCTTTAAATAAAAGGTCCACAACTTACCTGAGCGTCGTTTGCCTATGTTTATTCAATTGACCATACACTAATTTCAGAGTCATTTTCAATCACTATAGGTTTTTATTCGTGAAATAATATCCAATGCATCTGATGCACTGGAAAAACTTCAATACCAGTTCTTGACTGGAAAAGATGTATTTGAAAATGAACTTCCTCTTGAAATAAACATTGCAACAAATCAAGACAGAGGAACTCTGACTATCCAGGATTATGGCATTGGAATGACAGAAGAAGAATTGTTAGATAACTTGGGCACTATTGCCAGGTCTGGATCCAAAGCTTTCCTTGAGGAACTGGGCAAACTGGAACAAGGAGATTCACGAGAGAAAAGCATTATTGGACAATTTGGCGTGGGCTTCTATTCTACATTTATGGTGGCTGACAGAGTTGATGTGTTCACTCGTTCTTTTTGTCCTGACAGTAAAGGATTCTTATGGACTTCTGATGGGTAACACAAAACATTAATGATAGTCAATCCAATTTTTCTGCTCAGTTAATTCCCTGTAGTCATGTTTTCTCATCCATTATATTTTAATAATAGCTGGTCAATTTTTGAAAAAGTGGCTTCTTTCACCAGTTCTTTTAATTATTATTCTCTGTTTGTTTGTGTCTCTTGCACCATGTTCAGTGATTCCGAAGCAGTTGCTCACTGCTTCATGAGTTTATTTTGTTGATACCAAAAACATAATTGCATATCAATTGGCACAATAAAGCTGTCAAATTAAATTGATTTTTTAATTGAACACAGAAACTACTGGTGAGCCAGAAATTGCTTTGACTCCTGAGAGTTACATCTTTCTTTCTTTGTTGGGGAATTCAACAAAAATATGAAATTCATGTCATGCCCAATTGTTTCATGTGTGGAAAATATCAAGGAGTTTCTGGTAAAGAGACGAAAGAATGGGTGTGGCATAAAACACACTTTTAATTGGTCCAGTTTACGTATGTGGAAACTTATGTAACACTTCATCAATTGACTTTTCAGGTCTGGTTCATTTGAGATGGCTGAGACAGAGAATGTAACTAGAGGCACAAAAGTGGTCATGCATCTTAAGGATGACTTTAAAAATTTTTCAATCAAAACAGCAGTTGAAGGTTGGTGTACTAAACAATTTGCCGTCAGCAGACTTATTACATTCTGAAAAAAAGGAATTGGGCACCAATGATATGAAAAATAGGCTCAAAATAATATACTATTCAAGAATTACATGTTATGGTTTTTTGTTGCTGGTTGTGGGACAGTGTTAAACTCTGTGACCATGCACAGAATTAATGCATAGTTCTTGATAATTAATGATACTAATCATTTCTTCTTACAGATATTATTAAAAAATACAGCAACTTTGTGGGTTTCCCAATATATCTGGATGGCACATGCATCAATACAATTCAGGTATGTTGATGATATTTGGATTTTTCTATTATTTTTGTTTTTAGTGATAAACTATTTCAGTTATGATAGTAATGTGAAGAGATGTTGATTTTAACAACCAACATGTTTTAAATAAAAATTTTTTTTTCCTTGCAGCCCTGATAGCTTGCAACAATGAGACAATCACTTGACTTATTTACTAAACATTGGCTGACCCGAACAGACACATACTAAAATTGCAATTCCCATTAGAACAAAAAGTACAAACTGTGCAAATCATACATGCCTTTCTATGCAAAGTATTCAATTAAAAAGGAGCTGACAAAGAAAAGAAACCATGTTTGTAATCACGTTTATCTAGCATAGGTATGCACTGGCTATCCACCTGGATTTCTTCATGGTATTCTGACTGGGAAAACTTTACCTGCAGCATATTTATCCTGGGAAGCAGCTGCTGGGATAATTTTCAGTTTGTTTCACTTTCCAGATCATAGAACTCTTTCAAATCCCTTTTACCTCATGGTGTGATGGAGTCATACTGTTAGGTTTATGTATGGACCTAAAAATCTCACTAACTTGACGTTGGTCTGTTAGACAATTTATTTAGATATTAAAACTAGGATTCAATGCTTTACCCCATCAGAACAAAACTAGGATTTCTTCGGTCCCCAAAGTCATGCTATTACCTTCTCTTCATATTTCTGGGGTGACTGAGACAAAAAGCAGAAATTTTTACCAGAGTACATATATCCTATGCGCACGTTAAAATACAAACAATCAGTATAAATACTCAGTGATACTACATTTAAGAAGAGATTTATTGTCCAACAGGCCAAATTGTGTGGGTGAATTTTACAAATATTTCTGGAGTACAAATATTGTGTGATGTTTGTACTTGTCTTGTGTGTTATTTGTACTCTTTAAAGCGCATTTGGATAACCAATTGAAGTTATTGACATGATACCAAATGGCCATACTCTTAAATCATCAAGGTGGATTTTTCCTTCTTTTCACTCCATCCTTGATCAAAATTAAGCTTTGTGGACCTCACAAGGCAAAGAGCACAGTTGCAGAAGAATGCTCAGCTGGGAAGAAAGTCTTTATATCAACCATGATGTCAGCCACAATGATAAATATGGAAATATTTTGTTGCACTGTGCACCTGATATTTTCTTGTCCTTAAGGTACATTTCAGATGATTTGTTTTGCAACCATTTGGCTATATTTTACACATTTGGTAGCTGAGTTACCATGTTTTGAGGTTTCACAGATTTCATCTAGCTGATTTTTACCAGGTTTTGAGATTTTGAGGCTAACTTGGGCACAGATTGAATTTCCAGCATCAATTTGGCCATAATTTTGCAATAAGTTTTTACCATTTGGCCATCAATTTACCTGACTTTTGAATAAACCTTGTCTTCAAACCTCGTCCTCTGTCTTTCGTAATTACCCATATGGTTTAGTTTTAGTGGCCCACCGAATGCTTTTATAATTATATTGGAAGGAGGTGGCAAAGCTTTATTACAATTGCCAATGCCAATTGAAACCATTTTTTCTTATTACTAAATTTACTTCACTTTGAGATGTGTTGTTTGAACATAAACATGTATTCCAGTAAATAGTATACTCATACATGATGGCGTTTAGATCATTCATAAGATTGTTGTAATTTTTGTATCCCATCTTTGAGAAGGTAGAAAGGTGTATTGACTTCATTAGCCATATTTGCTCTGTTTTTCTCTTCTTCAGCCTTTGTGGATGCTGGATCCAAATGCTATAAGCACTCAAGAACATGAGGTATTAAAAGGAAGGGACATTTTATTTTGACTTGATGATTTACTGTTGAGTGTATCAATTAGAATGGACTCCCAAATATCAATTGAAACTATCAAATTAAATTCAGTTATTAAAAGTTATAAATTGAATTCAGTTATGCAGCTGTAGCAGTCAGCAGAAGTTGAAAACTCATGGTATTTTCATATAGAAAAAAGAACTTATTGGGTGTCTTTTCTTGCAGCCACATCATCTCATATGTAGTTAACATTCCCAGAATAGATATACATGTATAAATCAAGAACAATGTAAATGTGATTTTCATACTTTCAGATTTGTTATCAGATAATTGTAAATCTACTACACATTTTTTTTAAATCTGGATATATCAATTTTTTACTTCTTTTGTTTAAAACCGCTTTTTCCTTACGTTACTTTCTACAAAGGATGTTGCACATGGCTATTGCAAACAGTGAATAGAGTCATATTGCTAAGAAGTCTGCATAAAGTACTTGAAAATTTCTGTTTACAGGAGTTTTATCAGTTTATTGCTAAGAATTACGACAAGCCAAGATACACGCTTCACTACAAGACAGATGCTCCTTTGAACATCCGCAGTATATTTTACATTCCGGAAACTGTTCCACAGCTTTTCACAATGGCAAACACAGAATGTGGTGTATCTCTTTACAGTCGCAAGGTCCTTATTCAATCCAAGGCAGACAAGGTTTTGCCAAACTGGTTGCGATTTGTAAAGGGAGTGGTGGATAGTGAAGATATACCGCTTAACCTCAGTAGAGAACTTCTTCAAGATAGTGCCCTTATAACTAAGCTCAGCCAAGTGCTAGAGTCACGAATTGTCAAGTTTCTTCAGCAGCAACAAAAGAAGGACAGAGTTAAGTATGAAAACTTTTTCAAGGAATGTGGTGCTTTCTTCCGTGAGGGAATAGTGAGCAGTAACAGTGAAGATGTTAAACAAGACATAGCCAAGCTGTTGTTGTTTGAGTCATCAAAGGAAAAGGCTGGGGAATTAACCCCACTTTCTGTATATGTATCACGCATGAAACCAACTCAGCAATATGTATACTATTTGTGTGCCCCAAGGTAAGATGACCTTATTCCCCTGAAACACTAAAACATTTTGTACCTCTTTAGTATAATTGAAAAACAAAACAAAACAAAAACAGATTGACTATACTGAAACTGCATGTATTTTGGTGCCTAGAGTGAGTCCCTTTTATTAAGAGAATGGAGAAAATGGGTGAAAAGTTAAGTCAAGCTTAATCAAACACTTGCAGAATTTCACGTGGTACATTTTTGTTTACAGTCTTCATGTAATCTTGCATGTTAAAATACATCTTTGCCACTGTAGTTTCACTCCCACTTTTTGACATGGTTATTACCAGTGAGAGGATTTACAAAATTTGACTTCAAATTAGATTACTTGGAACCTTCTACATGTAATTGTTACGTCAAATAAATACCATAGCAACATGTGCTCACACTTCTTACAGGGAGCTTGTCATTTAGAGTGTCAGTCGTCATATCATGTTATTTTTATAGTTATAATTTGGATATCTCAACAAAGTTGAAATGGTAAATTGGCCACCGTAACGATTACAATAACTGACGTTTTGAGCGTTAGCTCTTCGTCAGAGCGAATAGAGGAATTGTGGGTTGTGTGTGCTTTTAAAGGCAGAAAATGGAGCTACATTGGTGGGAACATGGCAACGAGAAAAACGTATTTGTGTTTTTCTTGTTGCCATGTTCCCACCAATAACGCAGCTCCATTTTCTGCCTTTAAAAGCACACACAACCCACAATTCCTCTATTCGCTCCGACGAAGGGCTAACGCTCGAAACATCAGCTTTTGTGATCATTACGGTGGCCAATTTACCATTTCAACTTTGTTGATATATCCAAATTATTTCGTTACTCCCACCGAAGCAGCCCCAAACAGTTTCTTTCGAAACTATCAGCCTTTATTTTTATAGTTAGTTGTTAATAGGTAGTCTTCCAGAATGAATTTTTTGATTCAGTTGCTAATGAAAAAAACCAGCTCATGATCATACAGGACGCATACACGGTGTGAACCTACCACGACTGATGTAAACGTCATCACAAACCTGACCAGCCTTTATGCATTAAGTCTTTACTGCTTTTTACAGGCTATGATAAGATAGCATTGTCTTTGTTTGTAAGACCACATCTCAGTGATTTTTGGAATTTATTAAATTCATTTAACACTCAGTTAAAAAAAACATTTGGGTGTTATTTTAGAAATGATGATGATGCATTCAATTTGTATTACCATCATCGAAATTGTCATCACTGCTTTTTCTTAATTTTCAGTCGTGAACTTGCAGAGACATCTCCTTACTATGAAGCCCTAAAAAAGGATGATGTTGAGGTGGGTTTTATGATTCATTAACGCACACATACACTTTTCTTGGGTAGGTTTTCTCCCACTGTGTCCCACTTTTTTTCTACCTGATGCAACAGCCCTTTTACATGACCCCAGAAAGTGTGACCTTGTCTTGCAGTGTTTCCATCACAACACTGCAAGGTTGAATTTCATTGATTTGGTATCTCTGCAACGAAGTCATTCATTATCTATAATTCTAAACAACAATAATCTTGCGTTTTCCTCTTTTTCAAGTAACTAGCCTGTGTCTGTACTTTTTTCTTTTTATTTTTTGCTTCTCTGTTCTCGTGCAATTGTAAATTTGAAAAATACAAGTTTTTGTTGTTATTGTTTTGCTTTTGTTGTTGTTGTTTTGTTTATGCTGTTGTATCTTCAAAACATTGTGTTAAAATTTATCCATTGTTCTTGGTAAGGCTTGAGTATTTTGTGAGCTTAAACAGTACAGTGACTATCATGTTTTCATGGTACAATAGGTATTGTTTACTTATAATGAACAAGATGAGGTAACTCTTCATTACCTTAGTAAATTTGATGAGAAGAGAATCATGGCTGCTGAGAATTACTTTTCAGTTGAGAGAGAAGTAAAAACATCAACAGACATAATTGATGCAGATAAGACATCTGGTAAGTAATTTGGTCTCCAAATTAACATGACTAGCTCAATTCTGATTAGCATAAAGCACCCAGCTAATTTCAAACCCAAGTAGTTTTTACTCAAGTAAAAGTCATGACACACTTACAGCTAAAAGTCACCTACAGAAGTGACCTTACCAAACATGCTTATCAGGTTTGCCAACAACTCTGCCATGGTGCAATCACCTTCACGGTTCACAGCTTCAATTTTAATGGTATCAGAAAAACAATTTGCTAAGCTCAGTCTTCAAAAGTTGAACTGTTATGAGAACACTGAAGCAATTAATTGTTTACTGTTACCATAATAATTTATTGCTGTGATTGTAGACTCGCCCACTCTGACATCATGCATTGTTGTAATCACCTAGTGCAAGGTGCTTTTAAATTTGATGAACTAATTTTGAAAATGATTGAAAGTTTTTTTGCTCAGATTACCTGAGTTATTAAAAATACTTATTATTCACCTTGAATAATATGAGAGACATATACCTCTGACAGTTGGATGGGGAGCTCTGCTTCAAAATTACCCTATGGTTGGTTTCTGACTAGTTACATGGATATAATCTTTGCTCCAGATTCTCTAACAGATGAGCAAGCAAAAGACTTAGCAGACTGGATAAGTTTAACCTTGGGAAAGGAAAAAGTCCCTGTAGTTAAGGTTTGAATTTGTAGTTCAGCCTCAATCATTGTTTTTAATCATTGTTTTAATCATTGTTTTCAATCATTGTGTTATGGAACGTGATTTAGTAAGACAGCCCTTAAATCAACCCAAATCAAAACACTCATTGTTCTCAGTTGTCCATATTTCTCACAAATCCTCTAGAGGAGATTGTGAAAAGTGGAGAGGTCCTTGTATAGGCATTTCTTTTTTGATCCTTGTATGCAATAATGAGATGTTATTGATTATGTACCAGTCAGAAAAAGTTTAGAACATTTTTCTCAAGCTGTCAAAAAGTCAGTCACTGTCACCAACAACAGTCCTTTTCTTCATAAGGGTGCCTCGGGTTACCGTAAATGTAGTTTCATCATTGGTTCATTGTTCACAAGTGAAAGTTAACACTTTCATTCAAGATGTGAATCATGTGTGTCTAATTTGTGGACAGGTATCCAAACATCTGAGTGAGACCAGTCATCCTGTGATGGTCACTGTGCCTGACATGGTGGCAGCTAAACATTGGCTCAAAGTCATGAAAGCACAGCAGCACCAGGATATCGACAATACAAAGTATCACTTTTTTCAACCTACATTGGAGATAAATCCCAGGTATGTAACTAAGCCAAGGTTGATACCTTTTACCTGAATTTGTTCCCATACTTCTTATAGTTAGTTAGAGTTGTCTTCACTTCACGTGTCCAATCGTGATTCAAATGAGGTGCTCAGGACTCCTCATAATTATGTTAGACCTTATGGCAAAGCCACAGAATGTGCCAGTGATGCTGACCGTTGGTCTTTTTTATGAGAATTGCTCTTCTTTCCTCCACCACAAGAAATTACCCCTACTAAAACTGTTTTCAAATGGGATAAAATTCAACTGTGTGTGTGTCTGTATATATATATATATATATATATATATATATATACATACATATATACAGACACACACACAGTGTGTGACTTGATTTTCGTAGTGCTCAATACATAGAAGTAGAGCGAAGTATATATTGTGGGAGGAAAAAGACAAGTAAACTACAAGTTCATCCCTACAAGCCTGTTTCGTGGTCGCCCACTCATCAGGGGATTTAATGAGAATAAACTTTACCATTGCNNAACGTACTGCTAAATGATCTTTTTACATGAATAAAGCCCTAGTCAAACGGCGCATGATAGTCGATGATAGTTGATGATAGTCGATGATAGTTGAAGTGCGCGCTTCGGTTTGACCACCAACTATCATGCACTATCATCGACTATCACCAATTATTAAAAACTGGATCATTGGATAATGCAATTCAAGACTTTTTATTGGCTTAGCCATTATGGTATATGAGCCAATATACCATAATCTAATATCTGTACATTGTAACATCCGGTTTCTTCTTACAAAATAAAGTCGAGAAGATTTGTGTAATATCTTGGGGGCGATTTTTTTAATAAAACAACTATTCCACTCGCGTTTGTTGGATATGAGATGATTATAGCCAACGAGGCGCTACGATGATTATAGCCAACGAGGCGCTATAGATAGCCAACGAGGCGCTACGCGCCTTATAATCATCTCATATCCAACGCGCGCTCGTGGAATAATTGTTAAATATACATATATACAGATATAATTATAACAAACTGGTTCAAGACTTCAGAGGTAGTTCATCGTTGTATTACGACAGCTCTGTTTCGTATGGTCGAAAATGACTACACTCATCAGGTAATTTCAACGATTGACCGTTAACTTACAATGACTGGCTATAAAAGCTGGAATACGGTTGCTAGGAGTTATAAAAACAACGCTACTTTTCCATATAAGTCATGTGACTGGTATGTATAATTTCGGGAGTTATATACATATATACATGTTATACTTAAAAGTAGAGCGCAATATGATGAGTGGGTAATCATGAAATAGGCTTGTAGGGATGAAAGCGTAGTCTTTGTATTTTTCAAACTGCACACATACATACACGCATACATAGATATCACGCTCAGTGTTATAGCTGTGGAAATACTTTTTAATGGAAGCGATGATTTACGGGATTAAGGAGCATACTACTGGTTGGGATTAGGTGTAAGTGCACCTTCTGTGGCTTCAACAGACCATTTTTATAATAGCCTCCCTACTCAGAAAATGTGCTGGTTAATTACTTGTTTATTGTTATTAGCATATTAAGCTGCTTGTTACCATATTTTAAACCACTATTTTCAATTCTGAAAAATTATACTGAGCTAACGAAAAAAGGGGTCACCTGAATAATTTTTTTAAAAGGTCTGTAGCACTTGTGAAGCTTCATACCCATTATGATTTAAAAGAAATAGAGGAATGATGCATACATCATGGTGCTTTGTGTGAACATTATGTTATCATGTTATAATGCTCCACTTTTCTAGTACCACACAGTGATGTTTCTCCGAAATCATTTTGTCCTTCAGCCATGATTTGATCAAACAACTGCAAGAGGTTCGGTCAGTGAATTCAGATCTAGCTGTTATGGTTGTTCATCAGGTGTGTGGGGCTCTTTCCTGTAATTGTGGTGTAAGGTAAAGTTTGTTTACGAGCCTAGTGGCCCATTAGGCCGGTGCTTAATTCCGGTTTCTGTAGCATGAAGCGACTACGAGTATTTCCACCCCCCACCCTCCTGGATGGGAAGCCAGTCTATCGCAGGGTTACCCCCAGCATTAAATTGCCGGTACCGATTTATACACCTGGGGGAAGAGAGGCACTGTGAGAGTAAAGTGACGCCTAAGGACGCAACACAATGTCCCGGCCGGGGCACCAACCCGGACCTTTCGATTTGGAGTCGAGCGCACTAACCATGAGGCCACCGTGCCTCCGTAATTGTGGTGTATTGTTGGTTAAAATTAGTCTGCTTCCATAGCTTTTTCGGGGGTCTAGCATTATTAGTGCTAGACCCCTTGCAGACCTCTGCAGTTAACTTTGAGAAGCGTGCGATTGTTTATTCAAACGGCCATGTTTAATTTGGAGACGGCGTAATATTCAATGCCCTCGCCCCCTCCTTTTTTTTTTTTTTTTTCACTGACACTAACCGTTTGGTACAAATTTCTTTCTCTCCCGCAGCTTCCGCTTCCATTAAATCAAAGGTGACGGCGATAATCTTCGCTGAAAAAAAAATACTGAGCAGTTGCTCGTCAAAACTACGCCGGCTCTGCAAGCCGCCTTACCTATCGCTGGCTCGTGTTGCTTAAAACCTCATACTTTGTCGCGGGCGGAGAAATGCTCGTGCCTAAGCGCCAGTAATAAGGGCGTGCTCGCACGCTGGTCAAAAATTGTTGTTAATGACTCCGTAAACTGATACAGAAAATTTAGAAAGTTAAGTGACCGGTGAAGACGTAGTCTTCGTCCATGCGCATGATAAAGGAAATGCTTCTGCCAAAAAAATACCAGTAAAGTTATGAAGGTATTCTTATCAGTTGAATGTTTTCTTGCAGTTGTTAGACAATGCAATGATATCTGCAGGATTACTTGATGACCCAAGGAGCATGGTGGGCAGATTGAACTCTCTACTAGCTCAAGTGCTTGTCTCAGCTAATGGAACGGCTAAACCTGAGTGACCATACATCTTTATTCTACCAAGAAGAAGCTGCATTCCAGGGGCTAAACCGCTTATAGCCATCAGCGGGCTAACAGTGAACGAGGTTTTTTCCCTGTTTGTATCAGACATATCGTAGAACTCTCATTAGTGACTGATCACATTATAGTCGGTAAACTGTCTTAAGTGTGCCAGGATCTAGAATGGGATCCCATTACTAGCAAAACTACTCAGGAACCAAGAAGAATTTATGCCGACAAATTGGAAAACTCTTGATAAAAATATTATAATTGATACCAATGAAATACATCTGTGTCAGAATTTCTGTTGTATAGCTGAGTCCTAGCCAATATTCGTTTGTTCGGTTCTTGGATCAGGACAATGGTGACAATGGTGACAATGGTGACTTCGTCAAGAGCTTATAAATTTCGTTCTCGCTCGATGTCACTTGAAATCATTGAAACGTACACGGGAGATCAATAGTTGTTGAAACATAGAGTTTTCATGAAAGCTGCACACTGTAGTTAAATTAGTCGTTAAGATACATTTTTGTGAGGAAAGTGATTTACCTGAATAAATCTTCTTGTAGTTCCATCTAGACAGCCTTCAGTTTTGTGCGAACGGTCTGTCGTCTGTTAGAAACCCAAACTTCGAACATTTTCCTGCGTAAAAAAATCCCTGATTGATGTCGCAAAAGAGTGTTTCAAAATGATACAGCATTCCTAGTGGTAATTAAACGGGTAGAGTGCAAATTGCATTGGTAATCACATGATTTCGAGTGCAGTTTTGGACAAATCAGCACGATTAAATTATTCAAAGGCTAACCATATTGTGCAATTTTCAGTTCTTCAAAAATGTGTCTGCTCTCAAATTGTACGAGGTCATTTCACTGATTTCCTCTTTAGCCGTGATTATTTCATGGCATGGCTCGCTCGTTGGAGCAGGCAATGTCCGCGGACAAGTATCTTTGTTTATTATCCAACTACACATAGACGAGTACAAATAACGCTATAGACGAGTACAAATATCACATGGTATTTGTACTCGTCTATTGTAGTACCGGTTAAACAGGTTTTCTCGTATCGCGCAAGCGAAGAATTGGATTGTAGTTACGAAAAAAAAAAACAAATGGCGGACAATTTGAATCATATTTCCGACGACGAAGTGTCAGAATGGCTGGCAAATAGAGGCACAAGTTCATTAGATGAATCGAACGAAGAAAAACAGCTTGACAACCAGAAAATTTCTTCATTTAATGAAGAAAATAGAAACAGCAACACAACAACGCGCCAATTCCGTTTCGGTTCGCATACTTCTGTCACGCACTCCCCGTAAATAAATATCCGCGAAATTCGCCCGCACTGAAATAACAGTTTGGCGTGTTGGATAATAAAAAACTTATTAGACGTTTTGTTGTGTAGTATCCCTGAGTATTTTTACTCGTTATTTGTATTTTTGACCAGCCCGTAGGGCTCGTCAAAATACGGCACAACTCGTAGAAATACTCAGCGATACTACACAACAAAACGTCTAATGAAATATATTCACCGAACCTGAGGCGAATTGTTTTAGTATAATTTCAGAGCTGAACAACAGAGAAATTTCTAAAATCATAACATTTTAGTAACATTTATTAACATTTTATTTTAACATCTTATATAAACCGCGTGCGTCTTAGTATAATTTCAGAGCTGAGCAAAGAGTTTCCAGCAATCTGATTGGTCGAGCGGTTCCTTATATGACAGCAGCTCAGTGAAACAAAGTTGTAATGGTTCCACCGGGGCCCTCAGCTCACTACACTAAAGATATAGTTGTTTCACCTAAATAGGCATAAAGAACTACAGAAAACAGACGAAGTAAGTTCACTTACTTTATTATTTTGAAAACTATACATAATTATGCCATAAGAAACACATTTGTAGCCTTGTACACTGTACATAGTACATAGTTTTTTAATTTAAATTTATTTACAGTCAAACTAAGTGAAGCGTACCCCTCAAGATTACATTAATTAACTTATCATTTGGATATTGAACCCGCCAGTTGTTTCAAGAATGCAATAATGAATTGATTATCTAATTATTCAACCCGCTAGCCGTTTCACGAATGCAATAATGGATTGATTATTTGAATATTGAACCCGATAGCCGTATCCGTTTTGAAAAGGCGCGGATCATTGTTCAAATTAGAAGTCCATTTCTGAAGTCCAATAAGATTGTTCTATTTGACGAGGAATCGTGAGAATGAACAAACTGCACTGTAAAAACACTGCGAAAACAGTCGATCGCAAATATTAACGAAATAAAAAAAGTCTTGCGATGGCTTCGCCCGTAAACTATTTTTTTCGACCATGAATACACACAAGAATTTCTACAAGTTCGTCAAGATGTAAATAGGCGAAAAAAGCTCTCGATAACATTCCATTTACAACATTTACAAGAAGTTCTACACAACACTCGAACTCACCTTTCCCGGGT